GGATTTCCACCGTTATCGTTGAATCGCTGCTAGCACAGACACGATTCGCGATCACGCGAGATATCGTTCGATAACTATACCGAGCAAGGCTGCCCGACCGTTTCATTTTTCAGTATACTTTCCAGATATAGCGATGACGACGCAATTTATGGACAGGAAGGCGGATTTCCTTCGAATCGCGCGATGATAAGTCGAGGAAAGTCTTCCTTCTGTTTGCGCAGTTCGGTCGACCCTCGCACGAGCACCGTCGTCGACAAATAAAGTCGCACGTGCACGGTGAGGACGTTGAAAACGTTAAGGACGAAGGATGGAACGAGGGAGGGAAAAAAATGAACACAGGCATAAAAGAAAACGCTCTCGAGGGCAGAAACGGTCCGTGAATTCCTGACCAGTGACGCAATCGCGCAGGCATTTCCGACTGGTTGCACTTCGGCGGCCACTCGGATGAGAATACCTACATAATCGCGCACATAATGCGACTACGAGGGACTCGACACGCACCGCACCAGGCTCTATCGCGCTTCTTTATACCTTTTGACCCGCGACCGCCTTCTGCGCAACATTTTCCGTCTCGGCTTCCGCTCTTTTTCAATAAGAAAGTACCATCGACCGTATCGTTTAGATCACGGGTTACTTTTGAATGCATCGAGTTATAACGAACTATTTAGTACCGTGATGCGCGTTCCTGGCACTCACGGTGCCTTTTGTGGTTCGTTGGGAGACCCGCGAGGACAATAGTTTCACGAAATTGGATACGTTCGTCCCATGTATCAGCAGTGGCCCTAAAAGAGCAAACAGGGTTCCATGACCGCTTAAACGAGCAGTCGCTTTCATAGAGAGCGAGCATCACCCCGAATAGACGGAGTAACTTTATCATACCATCAGGACGGGAAGAAGGACGAGATCTTTTTTGAATAATAACCACCGCATCAGAGGCGACGCGTCACGAACCTGATTCCTCGAAGAATGCTGTTACGAATAAAGCGGAAAACGCGCGTCTCTGATACAGATCACCCCCATGGAAATCAATTTTCAACAGACTGAAGGATCTCGAGTAGACGACCCAGGCGATTGTGAGTTTCAAGAAACACTTTATCCGACGTGACGTCTACTCTTCGCGTGACAAGGGTACGTTAGAAGAATGTGTGCCGCGGTGTGTTATCAGTGTGACGTTTATTCTCTACTAATAATAATAAAACGATGGTAGTCCAAAGCGTTAATCGCAGCAACGTTGTTTCTAAACACGAGTGACTATTATGTGCTGCCTGATACACGAGGCCGGACTTGCATCGGAATCGGCCAACTTCTGAATCACCTTACGAATGTTTAATATTTTTCAGAACCAACGTAAAGCGATAAGGAAATATTGATTCCAGCTGCGAGTACGGGTTCTTTCCAATGACGATTGTAGATCGACGATTACGTGCGTTACCATCGCGCATTCGTTAAAATATCGTTCGATGGAATGACGCACGCGTGAACGTTCGTCGCGATGTTTCGATTCAAGGAGTACCTAACCTAATACCGGCGAAATCGGTTTGGTCGATACCGCCGACGGGGAATTTTTGCTTCGCGTTGGTTACACGAGCCGCGCGTGCATTACCGACCTTTTGTATCGTTGGGTTGATGAAACTCGCTCGCGACGACAATTTAGATGATACAATATCGCGTATCGTCGGTTCTCGCCTCCGCCGGGATCTTTGTTCCGTAAACGGTGATGGGAACTTTAGGAGAAACGTATAGCCGCGTTTAACTTAGTTCGTCACTTTGTGTAGAAAATCGACGCGAGCGCCGGATAAAATGGAGGGCGAGGCCGGCAAACGGAGACGTTCAACTTTCAAGTTTCGCAATCGACGACCGAGGGGAAAACCCCAAAGACCGATCGTACAGGAAAAGTAGAATCCTACCGACGAGAGCGTGAAACCGAAGAGGTCCACCAGCGATTCGAGGCATTCTCGTGGGGAAAGTGTTAACGTATTGACGTCACTCGTACGCAAGATATCTTTCCGTGGAATCGACCTCCTTTCGAGGTCGGCTACACCGGATTACCAGCTCGTTATCCATGCACGGGTAAAAAGGAATGAAAAATTCACAATTTTACGACCACAGAAGCCGCAGAGTCTCGAACTTCGCGTTTCGCAGTCATTGGCAACGTCAGCGTACCGAGTTTCAATGATTCGTTGCCACGAAGTCGGAGATCTCCGTTGTGGAAACGTTTCCGGCACGGTGTATCGGACAACGTGATTTCGCAAGAGTCCGTTCTTTATACGCGATTTCATTATTCGTAAGTCGGGAAAAATATGACCGCTCTATAATCCCGAGTTGCGAACCTTTTCTTGCCTCGATTAGGATCTCTGGACCTCGAGATTTCTTTTTCCGTTCGCCTCTTGTAAATTCGCTACGTTGAAAATGTAACCGGATCGCGAAGAAAAATGTAAAAATGAAATTACGAAGCAGATCGGCACGACCTCCGAAGCGGTATGCGAACTTTAAAATATAAATTGCTCGAGAGCGGTGTGTATCGTAAACGATACGGTGGACATAAAGGAACTAAGCGCGCGCAACCGATCGTTTAGATGTGAACTTACGGTCGTTCGAGATATCTCTGTTACCGAGCTGAATGCAAATTTCGCGAACGAGACTGATATCGTTCGATCGAATTATGGTAAGATGAATAAGCGTTTGTCGAAGAGGACAACGGCGAGACTGAAAGAATCTTTAAAAAAAAATGTTAATTACGTCACGGTTAGTTACGTCAAATGTAATTGTTTTCAACTGCTCGACGATGTTATAAATAACCAGTCATCTTTGACCTTCGGTTGCGCGTAACGTTCGACAAATAGAGGCAAATCGCACGCGTCGCTGAAAAAGATAATCATAAATTATTCCGACAGCTGTGAATCGCAAACCCGACTGGGTTACGTCTACTTATCTATCTTACGTTACACTTCGCACTTCTAATTTCTACATTCACTATCAATTCGCATTCTTCCCGGTCGTTTTCGTTAACATCTTAGCGGCAGCGGTTACCGAGAACCCATTCTGCTCGATCTTAATTCACCGAATCCGGATTTTCCAAACGGGTTTCGTCCGCGTTACGAGCAGCGGAGACTCCCACCAGCTGGAGACACCTCGGATCTCGTTTTCTCGGTAGCCGAGAAATAACCGCGGTTCTCGGTAGCGCGGATAAAAAAAAAAAAAAAATGTAAAAGTCACGGATCTAATTGCGACAGTCGGCGTACGTAATCGTGCAACGTAAACCGGCGTCCGTTTTTCCCGGTACCCGGTGTGTCTCACGAGAGCATATAATCGACATGTTTACGAGACATCGCGACTAATAACGGCGTGCAATCTCGCGTGTCGCGACGGCAAACCTGCGCACGCGACACGTGCGTGGATTTTCATTCATAAATCGCTGGTAAAACTACACGCTCGCTGACTCATCTGTCGCGCGCGCTTCGTTTCGAACTAAGCTAAGCCCGGTTAAGGGAGGGGCGGGACAGAAGAAGAAGAAGAAGACGAAGAAAAAAAAAAAAGATAACTCCCGTTGCGCGTTTTATGCAAATCGGATTGGGTGTTGGCCTTCCAGTGACCGCATCGTCGATGGAAATTTTTTTTGCGTCCACCGGAAACAGCCAATTACGACGCAACTTTGAAAACAGGTTCATCTTTATCCTTTACACCGTAACGGTGTCTAAACTTTTTAGAAGGCATCTATCCCCTCGCCATAAAAAAAAAAAAAAAAAGAACCGCGTTTGTTATTCAAGGTCGTCTGAACGTCGAGATAGATTCGATAGAATAGGATTTTTGGTAATTTTTAGACGGCTAGAACTCGAGGATCAGAAATTATTGACAACGAGCGAAAGGCGTGCTATGCGAAGCAGAAGACGAAGAATTGGTCGTCTTTCTCGCGAGGCTAAGAGGCAGGATGACACCTCTTGCCTTATGACCCGTCCGTATTGCTCCCGCTAAACTTAACCCTGCCTTCGTTTAACTAAACCCTCTAATTGGTGGGTTAACGAGCGTTAACTCCGGGCTTCCTGTCAGATTTAACTGTTTTCCTTCGGTATCGTGCTCACAAAGAATTCTTAAATTTCACGAGGGGGAGCCGTGCGTCTCTTTTCCAAGTTCAACGACACGCGTCGCTCGAAACGATCAACGACGATTCAGTTCGAACGAAGGAAAATTTCGAATAAACATTTTACGAGTCCGTAGGTTCATGCTCGCCTTCGTAAAAACGAATTTATTTTTATGTATAAAAAATCTCTGTACTTAACAGAGGGTTAACTGTACATCATACGTAGTATCGAAACCTTTAATGACTAACGAAATGACTTATAGAGTCGTTTCACGGAAAGTCGAGGCGAGGTTCGCAAGAATTTAGCTTCTTAATAGCAACATTAGTCGTCCGACAGATGAGAGGTGCCTTCGAGACCACATAAACCCGCTTATGTAATAGCCCGTAATAAACGGGCACTTTTAACAAGACCTTCGCGTATTCCTAGAAAAGAATATACGATTACGGTAAAAGTACGATAAGAAACGGGCGTTATTCGAGCGTCTGAAACTAATTAAAAAAGAGAAAAATGCGACGCGAAAGTTTAACAGGTAAAAATGTTAAACGTTTAACGCGATATCTACGTTTCTTAGAAATGTCGAGAAAAGATGCCATTCGATTACGCATTATCACCGTGTAATGCTCTTCGCTTTCGTAGATACATTGTTAACAGCGCTTCCGATACTGTTTCGATCAAATAATCACGAATCAGCTGCTACTATTGTCGAGATAAAACTCTGGCTTTAGTTCGAGTATCGATTGTCCTTCGACCATGACACCTAGACGTTCGTACAAAAAAATCGACGTTTCGTTTACATCGATTGAACAAAGGATTCTCGTGTTCCATAGCCATAACGGCACGCAATTTAAACATTCCGAATACTCGTATGCAATGGATAACGAGAGAAATAGAACAGACGATAAATAAGTATAATTCTCTTACTATTGCGTTCTCCTCTTTGCTCAGTTGCCACGGGTCGGCCTGGTTGAAATTCGGTGGATACATGGAAAACATCGTGTAACTGTGATCTTCGACGATATTGTCGCAAAAGCCTGCGCTAGGTACACGTTGCGTCATCTGTGAGCGGTTTTCGCTTTCAAAACTTCACTGGAAAAATTCTTCTTCGCGCGAGAGGTCTATCGAGAGTTTACCAAAGCACGGTTCAACCGCGAGTCAACGACACTCGCCAACGGACACCTGCTCACAGCTAGTCTAGTTCACCAATAGCACAGTTCGGTTAGAGGAGGCATAGGAATCGTCCAAACGCAAAAGTAACGCGTGCAAGTCGTCTGTCTGACACTGACACCTACGAATCTACGAGCAACGCGACAGCGGCGCAACGTGATCGGCTATAACCGCGCGTACTTACGTATCCCAACTGAGCCCGCCAATGTGTCTGGGAAACTATATAGAAAGACGGCAGCTCGACCCCCCACCAATCAGAGTCCAGCAAGCACCGCGTGACGTCATCGCCATCTTGATTGCTGATTCGCGCGATAGCGCTCGTCCAATCAACGAGCCCCATACAAGCTGCACCGAGGCTGCTTGCTCGCGACGAACGCTTCCACGGAATCGGGGAACGCACCGCGAAGAACTAGATCCCCCTTTCCAGGTAAACGACGTGCGGGTCGTTAACTTGCATAATTTTGCGAACTATATAGTCCGTAATCAGCGAAACCATCGTTCCGTAATCGGAACTCTTCCATCTAACGAACGATATCGTCGATTGATTTTGATCTATGCTTGGCAGACTATAGCGCGACACTCGGCGGAGTTCGATTGAACAACTGTTAACCGTTTAACTGTTCATCTTAACTATAAACATTACCCTCAGGGCCTGTAGCGGTGTTCGTAGCTACAGTACGGGCTTAGAAACCCCGTGGTAGCCAAGCTAGAGGGTACCCAATAGATGAAAAGCAAGAGATACTGCAAACAGTATTAAAACAATGCAGGAGTCACGTAAGACGATGACAAGAAGAATGGAAATAAGCTAGTAATAAGTAAACGGTAGTGCAACAACTTATAAATGAATGAATGAACTATAAATATTTAGTACCGAAGCTGACGTTAAGTCAGAGTAGTTTTTAGCAAGATTTAGGTTGTCCGAAAAGTTTCTTTCGCTTTATTAATAGGTAATACATGCACAATATTAATATTTTATGTTTTATGTTACATTACTGAATTGTGCACGATTCATTTTGCTCCATTACTGTTACGATATGAATATATTCATATATATATATATATATATATATCTTTGAAATTAGATTGTCTATTTATATAAACACGACCACATAAAATATTAGGTTGTCCCAAAAGTTTCTTTTGTTTTATTAATAAGTAATACATACGCAATATTTTCTGTCTAATGTTACATTATCGAATTGTGTACGATTCATTTTGCTCCATTACTGTTACAACATCAACATCTAAAAAATTAGATTGTCTGTTTATATAAACACTACCGCACAAAATAATTGAGCGCAACTCGCGAAAGAAATTTTCGGGCCAACCTGATATGTACGCTTCGCGTACAATTAAAAACAAAGGATATATTTTAGATTCGAGTCCTTGGCGATTTGCCCTACTTGAAATGTGTCCGTTAAAGACAATGCGGCTCGGAAAATATGTCAAGGAGTCACTCAGGGGTATTTGACATGTAACGTGTGCAAGCTCGAGGCGGTGTCTTTAAAAAATCGCCGTTTCTTCGAGTAGTTTTATTTCGTATTCCCTGTGCGTGGTTTATTGCGTGTCCGTGCACGGATGCGGAGAACGGGCGCCGAAAATAAAAACAAATTATTACGCCGTTGAGAGGCTATCGTTGCAAAAGATCATCCGTCGCGAGAGGAACCGCGGATTCTCTTACTATTTCGGTACAGGGAAATCCCTCGTGCATGCACAGCTCTTTGTTCTTGTTTCGATACGTACACGCGTGCACGTGCAACGAACTCCGCCAGTCTGGTGCAACGTACGTGTGAACGCACTTTGCACAAGAATAAAAAAAGCTGGCACGATCGTTATTGTCCAGCACGTATCTACATTGAATACAAGTTGGAATTGTAAGCGATTACGAAGAAGACAGTTGCGACGGAGTTCGCGAAAATAATTATCGGTACCGTTTACAATTAAAACATTTGTTAGCGTTGCCAGTCGAACAAGCACGCAATGCAGGCTGGAAAGAGAATGGGTAATTTACGACTCTGTTTGTCGAGAAACTAGTATCTCGCGAGAAGTAAACAACAACGGATGTACACCGTTCGAGGTACATACCCTGGGTGAGAGAATGCAATCAGTCCCTTCCTTGGGCGTCTATTGAGAAAACTACAAACTTGGTTGGATTTATGACCTTGTTTTTGTGGAAAGTCTCGAAGATAGCAAAGGAGAGGCAGAGTGTCAATAGAGCGTGAATCACGCACAGTTGTCTGCAATAAACCACTTGAACTCTCTTCGACCATCCCGTGCCGATATCGAAAATAATAGTTTTTGCGAAGCAACAATGTTACGAACGTAATCGATTCGAACACAATTTTGGTCATCCCTGGCACGGAACAAATGTGAAACGCGAGTCAAAGACGTCAGAGTTAATTGCGTGGGATAGTGGCTGAGAAACGTAACGCGACAAACCGTAAACCAATTGCGAACGCAGGCATCGAAAACGTTTAATTAACATAAACGTTCTCGACGTACAAGTCTGTTCAAGAATTTTCAAGTGTTTAGCGCGGAAGGTTTTTGTTTAAAATAACGGCGAGGATAGGTGAGTAAAGGATAGATGGTTGCGTCTTTGTTCGTTGCGTCCACAAAGGGACGTTATTTTTTAACGAGTACATGACAAAGTTAGCGGGGTCAATCGAATGTTTGTGGGTAAACCAAAAGCCAAGGATTGCGGCACGCGTCGCACGCGCTGCATAATAATCGCCACCGAAAATTGTACAAGAGAAAGGCGGAAGCCTTGATGATCGGCCTTTTTATGGGGGAAAACCACGTAAACCACGGAGGACGGGGTGTGCACTTTGAATATTCAAAACTGGACAATGGGGAATAAGTAATCGGATGAGCCACCGTGAATCAGTCGGTTCTCTTTTATGCGTCGAAGGATCCGCGTACTTTTACTCTTGCCGGGGACAAAACACGAACAAGCGGCACGATACCGAGAAAGAAGCGGACACAATAGGCGAGGAACGACGGGCAAGAAGATTATACCTTCGTGACTCTGCTGCCGATCGGAGGCTTACAATTCCTCTGATATATTTACGACAACTGGAAAACACTTCGGCGTCTTTCAGTTTGTGTGTATACAGGGTGTCCCAAAAATGTTGGAGGTCCTTGAAAAGGATGGTTCAGGGGGTGATTTGAAACAACTTTTTCCTTAGCGAAATTGTTGTCCGAGGCTTCGTTGAGGAGATATTAACGGAAAACACTGACCAATCAGAGCGCGCGTATACCATTGGAGCGGCCGCGATAGCGATGGCTACGCGCTAGGTAGCCGCTCTCGTACGCGAACAAGTGACTCGACGTGCGTCGAAGGATATTGACGCGGCCGCTCAGCGCGTAGCCTTCGCTACCGCGGCCGCTCCAACGGTATCCGCGCGCTCTGATTGGTCGGGTTTTTTTTTATTAATATCTACTTAACGAAGCCTCATCCGACATTTTTGCAAAGGAAAAAGTTGTTTCAAATCACCTCCCGAACCACCCCTTTCAAGGACCTCCAACATTTTTCGGACACCCTGTATGTATTTTTTTGTGAAACGTGAGGTATCAAAAGTACACGAACAAATTAATTTCTTAACCTTTGCAATACGCTACGCGAAACTACCGTGTTAGGTAGAACCGTATCAACGGATAAAATCGTGCCTAAATATTCGAACACGATCACCGCCCACGCTATCAACCCGAGAACAAAGAATACGCGCCACCTTTCTCAGAATTCTTTCCCGGTAGTATTTTTTACACTCGCCTACACGTGCTTTTCAGCAGTCCTCTATTTGTCCGTAGAATATTTGCATATTATCGATCGATTTTTTCGTCCGAACCCTACCGTTAATGGCAATCGAGATAATTAGGTGACAACAGCTGGCTCGTAGCATTAATGCTGCGCAGTACTGCGATATATCGTTCTGTCCGCGAGAGACACGTGTGCTGGTTTTTCGTGTGCGCGTGCGTGCCGAGGTTTACGCACGTGTCGGCGTATCCGCGCGTGTTTTTAAATGGCCGCTTTGTCACACGGCAATGGAGTACGGGTTCTTTATAAAACAGCTGTTGGGGGACAGCAGAAGCCATGCCAGTCGCAATACTAGATCAATACCATCGTCGGCCACAGAATTTATGCTAGGGGAGACTCCTCGACCGGGGGTGCGCATTAAACCCTCGCCGCCATCGTCGCCAATGGCGCACGGTACACTGAAACCATGAATTTTGTCTCGACTATCCAAAAGTAATCATTTACCGAAACTAATTATACGACAAAGTTACCGTTTAGCAAAAAATGTTTGTCGAGAATTTTTCAATACAGATATTACGAGTTGTGACGCAAATAGAAGAAAAACGGAAATTGGCAAAATCATTGGCTACTCTGCAATCATTCGACGTCAATGCATAAACGGTACGACTGGAACCTGTTTTGGCGAGCATATTCGATAAGAATTGGTAGGTGTATACGTTTATCATTTCGATGTTGTATTTTCATATTCGAGCCAATGTTTAAAACATTTTCATCTCGCTATTTTCGTCATTCCGATAAAATATTTTTATAAATACATTGTATCATTTCTGTGGAGTCGTCGACAATCATTGATCCGCCGAGATCAGTGAATGGACGTTGGCACGTAAGACAGCCTTTCATTGGCTAACTCTATAGTAACTCGGAAGTTTATTGGCGATACATACGCATAGAGCGTGCACCTTAAATGGATACCTAGCTAAGTGGGACTAGAATGAAAGTTGTTTATCCGAATATGCACACTTCGCGGAATGCATTATCGTTGCGAACGAGGAACTAAATATTAGGTTGTCCCAAAAGTTTCTTTCGCTTTATTAATAAGTAATACACGCACAATATTAATATTTTATGTTTTATGTTTTACGTTACATTACTGAATTCTGCACGATTCATTTTGCTCCATTATTGTTACAACATGAATTCATATATATATCTATGAAATTAGATTGTCTATTTATATAAACACGACCATATCAAATAATTGATATTTATACAACTCGCGAAAGAAACTTTCGGGACAACCTAATAGTTTCAATATTTTTTTTCGTTATCGTCAATTATTATCTACCGATGAGAATGCGCAAGCGCTTGGGAGTTATGAAAATCGAAAAACATGTTTTCACGTCGAACAGTTTATAGCGATGACGCCACGCGACTTAC